GTAGATCTGTTTCCCCACACTCTTATATAAATATATTTACATATGTACATTCCAGTCTTAATACCTGTAATACCTTGGATTTTTAATATAATGGGCTTTATGAACTATAGGATGTACATAAGTCAATGTTTGTATCCTAGGGACTGCCTGTATTTCCCAGGACCCCAACATAAGGTCTCAGCTTGGACCAACCAATCCTCTAGGGCACCATAATTAATATAAGGAGCTTTCATAATCTTTCAATTCCATTTTCCAAGAATTTTTTAAGCCCCCTCAATGGGTCCTTGAAATTTCATTGAAGACCTTAACAATTTTCACTAACTTCCAATAAAAATTTAGCATTTCCTTCAATTCTGAATGTTTACCACCACACATTATTAGCAATATCTGTGAGACACCAATACAAATCTTAGATATTTTCACATTGCAATTGTTTTAGATCACAAACTATTGCTGTGTTCATCACTACTTTACAATTATTATAGATATTAGGGTTGCTGTTTATATTATCTAGTAATTCATCACAGTCAACTCACTGGCATCAAGTCAATGCTGACTCACAGTGACCCTGTAGCACAGAGTAGACCTGCTCTTGTGAGTCCCCAAGACTGTATAACTCTTTACAGGAGTGGAAAGCCCAGTCTTTCTCCCTCGGAGCAGCTGGTGGGTTCAACTGCTGACCTTGGGGTGAGCAGTCTAGCTCATAACTTCTATGCTACTAAGGCTCCTATTGGATGAATAATTAATAAGAACGAGTGTTCCTTTACTAAAGGGTTACAACACACATTCCTCTCTTTTTATTATACCCAAACCCACTGTCATCTAGTCTATTTTGACTCATAACGAGTTAATTAAGGGTTTCTTTCCAAAGGCTATTGATCTTTACAGGACCAGATAGCCTCATCTTTTCCCAAAGGAACAGCTGGTGATTTTGAACGGCCATTATTGTAGTTAGTAGTCTAACCACTTTTTTTTTATTTTAAACATTTTATTAGGGGCTCATACAACTGTTATCCCAATCCATACACACATCAATTGTGTAAAGCGCATTTGTACATTGTTTCTCAAAACAT